GTGCGAGTTCTGACCTATTCAGGCGTCACCCCTAGGGCAAAGGTGAGCGCTTAGATAGGCCTTGCTGTAAACCATGAAGACGACTATGGTTCAACGTCGCCTATGTTGCGCAGACAACTGCAGTAAAGCGCTTAAGATCAGTATTACCTGTTCTAGCTGCATCAGATCGTACTGTCCCCAATGTGTAGGCAAATCCGTCCAAGAAGTGAGACAGACAAACCAAGTTGCTGACACAATTTGGTTTTGCCCAAAATGTCAAGTGATTCCAGTAGTCAACTGTTTACCTTTACTCATGAAAAAATGCGATAGGATGACTGAAATAATCGCGCAATTTGTAAAAACTAAGATCGCTCACTCGGAGGTAAATATGGCCACGATAATACCTCACCCGGCCAAAGTAAGCTCTGAGTCTAAACCGAAGAAGAGAGCTAGACGCTCTAACTGCACTGCTGCGTCTGTGTCTCTAAATCCACTGGGTCACCTCACTCCCATAAATGGGCAAACCTCAAACATGCCTGCTTCCACTTCTCCAACCATAGCCGCTTCACTTGGTGATTCAGCCATAACACCGACAGCTAGGAGCCTAAGGAAATCCGGTGTAAATAACAAGCAGGTAACGTACGCATCGATTGCCTCGACAAACACACCGAGAGGGACACACATAGGTCCATTTTCATTACCGAGCAGGCGTTGTGCAAAGCAGCTTTCACCGTCAAATCCAGTGGTGACCTCTAAACAACCCGATTTGCCGGCAAACAGTATAAAGCCAAAACTCGATAGACAAAACCACGCTGCATTAACTTTCGTGCGCACCAATGTTCCCGAATCCACATCTGTCACAATAAAAGGCAAGTTGCAAGACGATCGCAACCAGTGGAGTTCCATCTGCGAGGCGATTGGCATTCGGGTTGAGCCTTTAATGCTGCAACGCGTAGCGCGTCATCCGACCTCAGTGCACTCTGGTGAACCTCGAATTCTTCGAGTAACACTAAACTCAGCAGATGAGACAAAGGCTGTCCTGCTCTCAGCAGTTCGTCTTCGCAACTCACCGAGCGGAGTGCGCATATTACCTGATCTACCGTGGAAAGAACGCTCAAAAGAAGCAGTTGAGCAACGCGGCATTGCTAATAGGGATAGCAAGAAAACAATATTTGTTCATGGAATTCCTGAGCTTCTGCATTCTTCTGATCACGATGCACAAATACATGACCTAGAGCAGTGGTATTACATCCGCGAAGCACTCTCTGTAGACAATGTTATTGTCAAATCCCTGACAAGAGTGCCGTCATCACCTAAATACAAGGGCTGCGGACCAAGGCTATAGAAAGTACTACTACACTCCGAGGGAATGACACAAGTTCTGTTGGATAGCTGGTTACAGTTTCGAGCTATGTTGCCAACAGATATCCGGCTAAAGGCAGCAGGCAAACGACCAAAAATCGGAAGCAATTCAATGGAACTTGCAAACACAACAAATTATTTATTTGTACAGTCCTGCGAAGAGACTGACACGACAACTCTCACGGTACACAACAGGACAGAGCACAGCACGAGTGAAAGTTCTGTTCAGGAACGCTCAATAATGCCATGAACACGACTAAAATACACTAATCAAAAAACGATTAACGGCCGGCCACCTAACGACCGGCTTAAAAACTAACACAAACTTGACATCTATCAATGAACTCTTAACAACAAAGTCCTATCCTGCACGTACACAAACGCCCAAGGCCTCCTACGCAAGTTGGCCGAACTTAGAGTACTCCAAGCCTCACAAACGCGGGACCTCGTCATGATTACAGAGACATGCTTAAACTTTGAGATAACCGATTCTGAGATCAATTTACCCGGTATGCCGCTGCTTCTGACCGATAGAACCGGAAGGGGTGGCGGTGTGATTCTTTACTATAATACCAATCTCCGATGTGAAGTTATCGATTACCTGGCAATCCGAGCTCCCGAATCGCTTTGGTGCCGCCTTTGGTTGCGAAACAAGGACATATGTCTACTAGCCGTGATTTATCGCCCACCAAACTCTACGTCGGAAATGGACTCTAAACTAAACCACGTTTTTCAGTTTGCTTTGAACAAGTCCTACACCCACATTCTTATCGCGGGAGACTATAACATGCATGACATAGAAACGCCGGTAACCGACGGTATGCAGTTTAAAGCCTGCTTGCAAGAGCTTATTGCTAGCCACCGTCTTTACAACCACGTAACCACTCCCACCAGATTTCGAACTGCTAACAAGCCGTCGATACTGGGTCTTGTGCTCACTAAGGAAGAACTCATGGTTGACGGGATAGTTACAGGCACACCACTGGGTGGCAGTGATCATTTTAATATACTCTTTGACTATATATGCTATGCGGAGTACCCTGAAAAGGAGGTTGCTAGATTGCATACTGTCGTCCACCACAATGTGTTGTCTAAGCTTGTTAAGGATACATCTTGGACATTCTTAAACGAATGCCCCCAGATGTTGCGTGGGAAACATTTACAAGGACGTTTAGCAAAATGGTAGCGCACGCATCAGAGCAGATGTCCTTCCAACCCAAAACAAGCGTGTCATTTCTGAGGAGTAGAACACGTAAATGTATGGCCCGGAGGGATTTAGCATGGCGAGATCACCAGAACTGCCCGAATGCGGAAACCTGGACTGCATACGTGACACATCGTAACTTCTGTGTGAAACTGATCCGCGAAGACAAGGTCATGCATCAGCAGAAGTTAATGAAGCGATTCTGCACTAACCACAAACTCCTGTACAGGCACGTTAACGGCCTTCGAAAGGTAAAGCGAAGGGTTCCAGCGCTAGTCACGGCTGATGGGTGCACGCGATCAGCAGTGGAAGCAGCTGATGTCCTACGGTTTCATTACTCCAGAACTTCCAGGTGGTAACGAGCACAAACATTCTCTTCATTTCTAATACTCCATCTGGTTTAGAAAACATCACCTTCCCTGCGAAAGCTGTGTTGAAGAAGTTGCTATCCTTGCGTTCTCCCGGAGCTGATGACATCTGACAAAGCTCTACAGGCGGTAGCTAGTGCTCTAGCAGAACCACTGGCAGTTTTCTATCAGCAATGTCTAGAAGCGAACCGTATTCCATCAGTATGGAAGCGAGGGGTCATCACTCCTATTCATAAAGGAGGTAGCCGCACTGATCCTGCCAACTACCGTCCAATAACCTTACTTCCCGTACTATCCATAAGTGATGGAATCAATCATCGCAGACAAGCTGATGCAATACCTGGAAAGCCACGGTTTAATAGCCCCATAGCAACATGGCTTTCGTCAAAAGCATTCGTGTAATCCTAACCTATTAATTGCACGTAATAGCTGGACTGAAGCTGTTGATGATGGAGTAGGAATCGATGTCATCTACCTGGAATTTTCAAAAGCGTTTGATCGCTTGGACCGTCGAATTCTCCTTCAGAAGCTTCGGAATTACGGCACTGGCGACCCAATCCTGAGTTGGATTGACACTTTTCTACAAGAACGGTGGCTAGTGGTGAGAGTCCGAGAAACATTTCCTGATTCAGTCGATGTGGCTTGTGGAGTACCACAAGGCTCGGTTCTTGGACCTCGTTTATTCTTGGTGTTCATTAACGATTTGACGAGATCAATTACTTCCAATTTCCTATTTTTCGCTGATGATATCAAGATATGGCGAAGGATCAGAGGACCGGACGACCATGAACGGCTCCAGCACGGTCTTAACACAGTGTCGAACTGGTCAGTTCAAAACGCCCTACTGCTCAAAATAGACAAATGTCGCGTTGTACGATTACGCCATAGACATAACCACACCTATTTCCTTGGGACAAACGGATTGCAGATTAGCTCCCAAGAACGTAAACTGGGTGTGATCGTACAAAGCGACCTTAACTGTTCAAAACAGGCTGAGGTAGCTGCGGAAAGAGGCAACCAGCACGTCGGCATGCTGCGAAGGGCATTCGGGAGACTTGACCCATCAATCTTCACAATGATGAACAATTCCGACGTGCGCCCGCATGTTGAATACCCTATCCAAGCTTGGCAACCTTGGTTGAAGCGCGACCTAGAAGTGATAGAGGCACCACAACGAAGGGCAACAAAGAATATAAAAGGCATGCGCCACCACTCTTATCACCGTAGGCTGAAATTGCTGGGAATTTTCAGCGGACGCTATCGAAGGCTGCGCGGCGATCTCATTTTGGCGTATCAGATATTGAGTGACCCAACAACGTATGCCGTCATTTGCTGAAACTTAGCCACAACACGCAGCTCAGGGGTAACAGCGTAAAGTTGAAGGAACAATATAGCCGTCTAGAGTGTCGACGGAATTACTTTTCCCTTCGGGTTTGCAAACCTTGGAACGCACTCCCAGACTCAGTTGTATCCTCTCCTACCTTGGATGTTTTCAAAAAACGACTAGATGTTGCTATTAGCTCCCAGCATTTTGTTACCTAAATTACTCTATTGTGGATTACTACAAGCGTGCTTTTCACCAGGATTTGTGTATCAAAATGGACCTAAGTGAGTGACCAAATTTAACTTCTCTCACTCCTTACATCAACGATCACTGCACCCCAGGGTCTCGCTGAATGTCTACGCTCGAAAATGTTTTTAATTTTACACTAATTTTACTTGTCAAATTATTCATTTCCGTAGACGTTCGATAGATGACCCAGACATATTTTGATTTCATCATATTCACCCCAACCATTCTAAGGGACTTGATAAATCATTGTTCATTTTCATTATTAATGGACGCTCATCGTCATGTTCTTTTTCAGCAGTGCCATTTGCAAGAACACATTCCATTGTCTTTTCTTTTCATCACTGTTTTACTTTAGTACGTTAAAGAAATATGTAGTTGTCACACGAGTATATAGCAAGTTTTAAATTGTTGGGTCTGCATTTCTTATTCTCGCTTGTTTCGTGACATTTGTTTAAACGCTTCATTTCGTTATTCTGATTGGCCAGTGTCCTTCACTGTAATTGGATGTCCACATTGTAGCATATCACGGAGCGTTTGGTTGCCGACTAACACTTTGTCTTTTCTGTTTTAGAACCACTGGCGCACAAATTCCGAAGCGACCATTTAAGGCAACAGAAGATCGAGGATTGCACGGACAACTAGTGTTGTTTGACCCACCCCTCCTTCCCTCGGTTTCCCCTGACGTGACCTTGACCGTAACCTGACGACTCGTTCTTCTCTCGCGCGAAACTGTTCCCCGTTCTTCCTGGGTGTGAGGACGCTTGTTCCCTCTGTCTTTGTTGCTGTTGTTTCTTTCGTAATCGCTCATTCATCCCACCAACACTGTGGAATAAAACTCCTACTGGTTATTGCTTCTTCTTTGTGCGTGAACTCACCTTTGCCTCGACGCCTATTACATATTTGGCGACCCTGCCAGGATCGGCAACAAGAATTACCGCTTTCCTTGTAAAATGAAAATCATGCCGAAAACTGAGGTCGAGAGCAAAGTTTCGGATGATACCGAATCTACAGTCAGCGAGTCCACTGTGTTTGGACGAATGGTGTCGGCTCTCTTGGGGTTGTTAAACTCAGTTATTTATCGTGGTCAAGTTCGGGTACAAGCTCCACCCCAGCCGTTCCCTCCCGAGAAGTTTTGTATTGGGGATGATTATGAACAATGGGAACGACAAGCCCGATGGTACGTTGACAGGTTCCCCGAAAATGAAAGGGCCGCTGCACTTTCTAGCCTCCTGAGCAACGATGCCTATCATATTGCAGCTTCGAAAGATATTATTGGAGATGTGGTGAACGGAACAACGTTTGCCCAGTTGAAGGAAGCCCTGCAACCGTCCCTACATGAGTGGGAATACGGTCGACAGTTCCACGCTCGTGTTCAACGACACGGGGAACAGTTCACCATATTTGTCGCTGCGCTGCGGAAACTTGCCATATTGGCTTACCCACATGCCGACAAGGCCAGTCGTGAGGAGAAGATCTTTCTCCAGGCTCTTCAAGGCACGACTAACATTGACATCAAGAAGGATTTCCTGGAGAAGCCACCTGCCACTTTGCAAGAAGCTGTGGACTCCGCCACTCGTCGGGAGAAAATCTTGGCTGTGATCGCTCGGGAGGAACCACGGCGAGTATCGGATTACACTGAATTGGTATCGGTTGTTCGGCCTCGTGAGCAACAACGGAGAGGTCAACGCAATTTTTCTGACCATCGGTCCACCCAGTGGAATAACGTTCCTCGCTTTACCAAGGAATCGCCTGTAGGACCTCAAATGGATTGCCCCTATTGCCGCAGATTCGGAAGATTTGCCTACAGTTGCGGACATAACCGACGGGGTGAGTCTCAGTGTTTGTTTAAGGTTCCTGCCGTTACGTTCGCCAATGCCATCTCAGCTCCTGTTGTGTCAGGTTTTGTGTGGTCTAAGCGTGTTGGTATGCTAATTGACACTGGGGCTACATGTTCTCTGGTCCATATACGTGTCGTACCGAGAGGAGTCTCTGTACATACCGACAGATCTGTCAGTCTGATAGCAGCCAATGGTTCTTCTATCAATCCAGTAGGCTGGATTACTGCTACTGTATCGCTGGGCGGCATTTCTACCAGTCACCGCTTGCTCATAGTTGGTACACTACCATGGGATGTGATACTTGGGGTTGACTTCCTTTTTGAGCACGATGCGAGAATCGACCTCGTCAACAAAACACTCGAAATCGGTAAGCAAATAATGTCATTTGATTCGACTATTGCTTGCAAGTCATCATGTATGGTAGAAGACACACCCGTGCAGAAACTTATTCGTAATGTTCCTCCGGACATCCCATCCTCAGCCCTCGATAAATTAAAGGAAATTTTGAACACGTATCAGCATGCTTTTGCGTGGACAGAGGGCGATCTCGGTCGGTGCAGTTTCATGCGACACCGCATTGATACGGGCAATGCACCACCGATTCGCCAAGCGGCCAGGCGTGTGCCAGTGCATTTTCAGGAGGAATTGAAATGTATGATCGAAGATATGCTTAGACAGGACATAATCCGACCGTCCAATTCCCCGTGGGCTTCTCCCATAGTTTTGGTGAAGAAAAAGAGTGGTGACTTACGTCTGTGTGTCGACTACCGGAAATTAAACGCAATCACACGAAAAGATTCGTTCCCACTGCCCCGAATAGACGACACCATGGATGCTCTTGCAGGTTCGCACTGGTTCACTACGTTAGATTTAGCTTCTGGTTATTGGCAAGTGGAATTACATCCTGACGATCGATGTAAATCAGCATTTGTTGTTCCATCTGGTTTATATGAGTTCCAGACGATGCCCTTCGGGCTCACGAACGCCCCAGCTACGTTCCAGCGACTGATGCACACAGCATTGTCAGGAATGATACCCGAGTCTTGTCTAGTTTACCTGGATGACATCATTGTCCACGGAAGGACGGTAGCTGAGCACAATCACAATCTGAGTTTAGTGTTGAATCGCCTGATACAATTGGGATTAAAACTCAAACCCTCTAAATGTCAATTTCTAAAAAATGAAGTAGCTTATTTAGGCCACATCGTTTCTGGTAATGGAGTACGCTGCGATCCAGAAAAAGTTGAGCGTGTCCGTTCGTGGCCCATCCCAAAGAATACCGATGAAGTACGCAGCTTTCTTGGGCTCGCTTCTTATTATCGGCGCTTTGTAAAGCACTTTGCTACTATTGCCACTCCGTTGAACGAAATCCTGAAAGCAAACCAAGCGTTCACATGGGGCGAAGCTCAGCAAAAAGCATTTGAATGTCTTCGAAATTCGTTGTGTGAAGCACCGGTACTGGCGTTTCCGGATACGCGTCTATCTGCGGGACCCTTTATATTAGACACAGATGCCAGCAACACAGGCATCGGAGCTGTACTTTCGCAGCGGACACCAGATGGAAAGGAACCAGTGATTGCCTATGCGAGCCGAAGTCTTTCACAACGTGAACGCAATTATTGTGCAACACGTAAGGAAATGCTTGCTTTGATATTTTTTATCAAACAATTCCGCCATTACCTTCTTGGCCGTAAGTTCATCGTGCGCACCGATCATCAATCATTGGTTTGGCTGCAAAATTTCCGAGACCCCGAAGGCCAGATTGCTCGGTGGCAAGAACAGTTACAGGAATACGATTTTGAGTGCCATCATCGGCCGGGGATAAAGCACGGGAACGCTGACGCTTTATCACGAAGACCTAACAGAAATCATGGGTCATGTCCGTCGTGCACAGCTGCGTGTGTGTCCGCCGTTATTTTCGATGAATCCGAGACCGAGGAATGGGTCCGTATGCAGTCGACCGACCCAGAATTGAGCATCCTGTACAGTCGCATCGTTCAAAACGGGGACCGACCAACACAACAAGAACTGGCTGGCGCCAGTTGGGAAACGAAATGCCTGTGGTCGCTATGGCCTCATTTACGAGTAATAAATGGCATCATGTATTTTCAAAACGGACCCAGTTATTTACGCAGAATAATCGTTCCAACAGTCGCGACCCAGGAAGTTATGAGACGCATACACGAGGAATTAGGTCACGCAGGACAAAACAAAATGGAGGCTGCAATCCGACGTCGTTTTTGGTGGCCTCATTTGCGACGTGATATCGCCATTTACTGCCAAGCATGCCCTGACTGTGCAAGAATCAAGAACCCTACAAATCCCCGTCGTGGTCCGCTTCAGCCGATGACAGCTGGGTTTCCTAACGAGATAGTGGGCATTGACATTATCGGCCCCTTACCAGAAACAGCACGAGGCCATCGCCATGTCTTGGTTATGGTTGATTACTTTACAAAGTGGTGCGAAGTCGTACCGCTGCGTAATGTGGACGCGTGGAGTATAGCGAAGGCTTTTTTAGCGACTGGGTGGCAAGGTGGGGAGCACCTTACCAGTTACATTCGGACCGAGGAGCAAATTTTGAGAGTGTACTGATGAGGGAAATGTGTCACATATTTGGAATTCGCAAGACGCGCACGACGGCGTATCACCCGGAAGGGAACGGTTTAGTTGAGCGCACCAACCGTACGTTGAAGATGCTGCTAAAGTCATTTTTGAATGAGGAGACGCCCCGAGAATGGGACACGAATTTACCCAAATGTATGTTGGCGTATCGCGCCTCTGTCCATTCCGCCACGGGTCAGACACCACACCTCATGATGACGGGGCGCGAACTACGACTACCTTCAGATACGTTGTTGCCAACCTCTTATCACGAACCTCTAATTGCGACCGACCATATACTTCGGATGCAGTCTAGCCTGGTTCGCGTACATCAGTTGGCACAGTCTCATTTAAAAACGGCGCAGCGTTATCAAAAGGCGTACTTCGACAGAAAGGCTTTTGGGAGTCCGTTCAAGCCTGGTGATGCGGTCTGGCTGAAGGCTTTGGCGACACCAGCAGGCGTCCCGGCCAAGTTCCGCCGCGGCTGGGAGGGGCCATATGTGGTGGAGGACGTATTATCGGATATAACGTATAGAATCATGAAACCCGGTGCGCCTGCCTCATCTACCGTCGTACATTTCAACCGGCTAAAACCGGCGGAGAAATCCATGGCGCTGAGGACAGCGCCTGACGATGAGGGGGAATAATGTAGCATATCACGGAGCGTTTGGTTGCCGACTAACACTTTGTCTTTTTCTGTTTTAGAACCACTGGCGCACAAATTCCGAAGCGACCATTTAAGGCAACAGAAGATCGAGGATTGCACGGACAACTAGTGTTGTTTGACCCACCCCTCCTTCCCTCGGTTTCCCCTGACGTGACCTTGACCGTAACCTGACGACTCGTTCTTCTCTCGCGCGAAACTGTTCCCCGTTCTTCCTGGGTGTGAGGACGCTTGTTCCCTCTGTCTTTGTTGCTGTTGTTTCTTTCGTAATCGCTCATTGATCCCACCAACACTGTGGAATAAAACTCCTACTGGTTATTGCTTCTTCTTTGTGCGTGAACTCACCTTTGCCTCGACGCCTATTACAACATTACGCTTAGAGTCTCATGATGCTCGTTTTAAGGACATATGCGATTCGCTCTTGAGTTCACGGTTGCTTATTCGTCCGTTGCATTTGACGTTTTTCCTTCTGCTGGTTAGCTCACGTGCAATTTAGCAGCTTCCCTTAATTTGGCCTTCAAAACTGTGTAAGCAACTGTGATTTCATGTATACAAGTCTCTTTCTGGCTCGTCTTTGGACTTCTTCTTGCGATGGTGGGGTGAAGGCGTCAGCGGCGACGCAACAGACTTTCTGGAAACGGAGATGTTGAAAATCGTGACTATTTCATTCGAACAGATGCAGTTCTTCCTTTAGCAGCAGCAACAGCAGTTACATTTTGAAAAGTCTCAACCGCAGTTACTCGAGTTGTTATCAGAATAACTGCACATACAGGTGGATTGGAAAGCGGAACCCAGGTTGACATCACATGAAATTGAATCTGAATGCCATTGGCTGCTCAATTCGAACAATGACACCAAAATGATTGAAGTTTCAGATTCCAGAACAGAATCCCAATCTTGTCATACAGTTATTCGTGGCCAACATTTGAGCTGTGATGTGCCGGACCGGAAACCCCCGACAGCATTTTGGAACGGTGGTGAGAGGCAACCATTGCGAGATTGCGCCTACAAAATTCCTCACTCTCAAGAAGAAAGTAACTTTAGGCGTGTACGTACTCCAAGGGTGCAGGCATGCTTGAAATTGTAAAGGACCAGATTCCACGATGTATCAATATTTGCAAGGAAGAGAAAATGCTTGACAATGAAACGTGATTATATTCCCATGTCCATACAACCACAAACTGCGTCTGCTATCACGATCGTTTCTCGATCGATAAGGACAACAGCTGAAAATAAGTCGGTCAACGTAACCAAACTTATGGCCCAAAAGACAGTCAAACGGATTAATCGCCTGTGAACGATGACTCAATGAAATGCAACGTCGGGAAGCCATTTACCTAAGCAGACGTGCGGACATTAATCTGTCCAAAGTGGAAGGAATTCAGAATTTATACTTGCTCAATGCGTCAACGAAGCATGTCACGCCGTACACTAAAGGGGATAGATGTCCCGAATATTCCTGTGCTGACTAGGTACTAGAAAGAACGACACTGCACACCCTTTCTGAGACCGAACCATTTTGGTGTTGGATGCACGTGGACCCAGGCAACGCATTCTTTAAGTGAGGGAGGTGTTGGAGATGCTAGGAAAACACAGGTATGCTTGTGTAGCCGTTCATGACTGCAGACTTTCGTTCTGCTACGGAGCTTCACCGATGTTTGTTTTAACGCAGCATTTCGCTATCCCTATTGGCTATTTGGAGTTGTTGTGTTTGTCTTCAGATCACAGCGGCACTCTGACGCTATCACTCTCACCTTACGTTATTTGCGTGCCTTTGATTGGTTTCTCATCTGCTCTGTTCTTATTGGTGTTGTGTCCGCATGCCTTCTGCACTCTGGCTGGCTTTCATACTTGTGCGTTATGGGATATAACGAACTGGTTTCCCTATGTAAAAGAACTCTTGAATCTCTGTCCCTGGTCGCTGGTGTTCTCACTACCGTTAGCGGGTGGAAGCAGTCGCGGGGTTCCGACACAACAGTAATCATACCACTTGTGGAATGAGACTGATTGACTAGAAAATATGGGAGCTGTCGTACAACCTTAACGTCCTAACTAAACGTTTGGAGTCAAGGCGTCTACAAAAAATGCGTTCATAAGCAGCTAGATATCGTGCGAATATAAGGCGGCATCAATGAGACAGCTTCCTTGCGGCTTTCACTGTCCCTCGGGATAATCAGCCTTATCCCACACTTAACCAATCACTATACACAATTAAAATAGGCAGCCCGATTGCGTGATGACAACAGACACGCCACTGATTCTGGCTGTGACGTATGTCCTGCAACATCTCCAGTCAAACGCAAGGTGGGTTTTGTTAATTCAGCCTGAAAGGTAAGACGGACCAACAACATTCACTTTGGTTGTCGGTGACTTTTTTTCTTAAAGTTTGACTTTTGTCCCGCAGTGTTGTACCATCACAATTCTAGCAACCAAAGCATCGCCTCTCCTCGGTACGCGATGCACAGCACGGTCCGCAGCCGACACAACTTCTTTAAGATTACTTCTTGTCATCCAGTACCTGCCTGCGAACTCCATGTTTATGAGTACGTTAGGGCCAGCCGCCATTAACAATGCTTCGTTGGCATTAATAGTTAGAAACCTGAAAGTGCGTCAGATCTTCGTATGGAAGATCCCAGATCTCACCACCGTAGAGGAGCACAACCCTCACCGTGCTCCAGTATACGCGGTCTTTTAGACTGGAATCTTTAGATGAACGCCGTATGATAGTAAAGTTGTCCGACACTTCGCGACAAATTAATACGACCTCAGATATTCGGGCACATGAAGTAAAGCGTTCATACTTTGAATTGGAACTTTCTTTCAAGCAACTCTACCGAACCAGTTGGCTCACGTGACCCCGTGAAGTCGGCTCTACGTACATGTGATGCTCCATCACGTACGGAAACCAACCGTCTTTTTCCACACATATTTCCCGGTCAGCAGTCAGTCGATAGACTAAAAGTAAAGCATAAGTTTGTCACAACTAGCAACAGGTTAATATTCTTACAGCCACATGAGGCGGTTCGACTGCCCTTATGCTCGATTCGCTTCCGCAAGCTGCAACGGTTTATTCACCTCACACCAGTTCTAACCGACGGGTCACGGCTTCGCAGTAGATCCCGCTACCATTTTTATCTGGGGACTGCACGAGTGATTCTGTACTGTCTTCGCGCCAGTTAATTATTGCGATACGGACCTCAGCGTTGGTTGCAAACCCAACTGACAACTGTGGACTAACCTGTGCCACCTGACCTGGAAGCGGTTGGGGACCAGAGGGCAAGCTGTATTGCTTTTATGTCCTCCGCTCACTGTCCCAGATGGCATGCCCCAGTGTGAAGTACAGTGCCAGTGCTGTACCTGATTGCCCACTAGGCATTCTTGTCAGCTCGCAAGTTCCGCTCTACCGCACGCCTTACAACCACTCTGGTCACATTCAGCACGCTTGGAAGTGGGTGTGTTTCTTCTGGATTCCAACAGGTTCACTGACGCTTCTGATATCCAACATGTGCTGCGGTGACAATTTATTGCGTCACAATCAGAGCCTTTGGCGTTGTGTATTCAAACGAAATACTATGAAACGATATCCCCGGTGGTTAACGAAGCTTGATGCCTAGTGCATCCCTGTAGGTTTACCTGATCAAGGGTTAAAGTTTATTTTGCACTCGGGATGGTGAAAAATCGGTGGCATATTGCTACGGTATGATCAGTCGACGCACATTTTCCCTGTGCAATGGGGAACAACGCCACATGAAACTTATGGTACCTTTCTGTCCTTCGCTGGCTGGGGGACGGCCGGTGGCACATCGGCACCCATCATGTCAGGGCAACGCAGCACAGTTTTAACAGACGATGGACATTGTCCGTGCTTTCGGCGACAAGTACAAACATCCCACGAATCAGAATTTCCGAGTACTTGTGTATTCATAGCCCCAATAATCTAACCAAGTCGATCCGTAGCCCAGCCAATTTCCTCTGCCACACAATGAAGTCCGTAGGATTCACAATGTATCCAGCGCCGTAGACACGCACGCAAGTACATGCAGTCAATAAGATACGTGATACGCTCCGTCGTATTTCTGTGCGCACGTGTCTAGCTCAATTCCGTGCGGCTGCCGGCACACTTGCGGAATACCCAGTCCACGCGCGAACGGTGGTAGTTGCGTACTTCTGACGTCATTCACAGCCACGCTGAATAAGACAAGCAAGGGTCGGACACGTGCCACACAGCATTGCTTCAGGTTGGTCTGGCGACTGAAGGTGGTGGCGACACGACAGGTGACGCACTGGCACATACCTCCAAAGCGCTTGTCCTGTCTGAGCTGTTGCATACCGTAGGCATAGGTGCCCACCAGCGAGCAAGGTACAGACGCGCATTGAGGTTTGTTTAGTCTACCTGTCACATGTGAGCCAGTGCACAGGCGGTGTACCAAACTGGCCTTAATACTTTCTGCCCAGCATTTCCGTTGTTGGCTTAGAATGTACCGGTACTCCATCATCTCCAGTTGTCTTGCTAATGGAATATTTTCTTGGGCCCGTTTTCCAGAGGAGTACCCTTCTGTTTCCAATAACGTTGGCCTCCTCATTGTTTCACGCGTATCACCCCTATTCAGTTCGTTCCAGGAACCGCAGTCAGACAATGTTTCAGGGTTTTTGAGATTCGTCGCAACTAGGCTCAACCAGCGCTGGAGGGCCGTTTCATTGGAACTCATTGGTTGCGCGCACCCGCCGAATCCTGCCGGATTCGAAACCATTACCTTTCTTTTGCGAGTCTGAGACTTATGACGCTAAGCGAAGGATGACGACGGCGGACTGCCATGACTGACAACACTTCTTCAAGGGTATTTTGTGCACCCAGAAATGCGAATTTTCAGCTGTTATCCACACACTAGCATTGTAATTCCGCGGACGGAATAGAAACACTCTAGATTTGAAGGCCTCGTGATACAGCGTGGCTCATGCTCCAATGACATGCATACTATGTACGCGCAGCTGACTATGGAGTGGCTCCAGAGTTGCAAGCCACCACCAATCGAAGTAGCAAATATGCTATTAAGTCGATCACTGATCTGTATTGTGGTAGGGGGATTTGTCGTGTTTTTGAGAACATGTATTGCACTTACATAATATGCATGGCAGCGGAAGATGAGCCGCTCTGTATCACAGTTACCTATCAGTCATAGTGTTCCACCGCCATCACTCATGGCTTAATGGCATAAGTTGCGGACTCGGAAGAGTAAGTTCGTGGGTCCACATCCGACTGGTGCGCCCTACTGACGAGTCGAAAGAGTACGAAACGGCCGTGTGGCGCCTTCCTGAATGT